TTTTTTACCTGTCGAGAGGGAAGTACTTTCAAACACTGATTGTATGGTGCTTTAAATCTATGTTCACTACTTCTCATTGTTTTGTAATGATTAAGTTGTGCATGCAATACTACTAAGGAGGAGATTATAGGAACCAGTGTAATGCAATGCAATCAACTGCTTGTTACTACTTTTAATATTTCCAAAAGCACACTCAGAAGTTACAATGAAACAAAACAAATTAACAAAGCACAAGAATGCATTTACTCATTAGATTATCAGCCAACCACTGCACTAGAGCTATAGAGAAAACTTAAATTATGTGAATTTATTATTAGCGCAGATTAATACAATATTAATATGTCAAACATAAAGAAATAAAAACACCATGGATGGGAGGACGGGTGATACAGACAATAGGCCACATACATGCAACTTTAGATGAGGATTTTGGTTCAATCTAGAATCCTTGATTTAGGAGCATACCGATACAAACATGCTAATGACCACTGTTTAAACAAGACATTAATTTTTCTATAAATGACAGCCATGTTAACTGAGGAGTAGTTGGTTTTAGAGAGTACATGTCTACATGTCATTACTGAGATGTGGTTGCTGCACCATGCAAATTTTAGTTTTGTGTATTGGAGAAAAACTGATCCTGGATTTTGTATTTCTATTTAAATAATTTTATTTAAAGAAGTTGTATATATTTTGAAATAATTGTGGGTCAGTTTTCTCCTGATTTTCACGAAAAAGAGTGATACGTTTTTATTTTGACATAAAGACTATGTGACAAAATTATTAACAAAAGTTACATTTTCTCAAATTATAGTTTTTATGGAAGAATGATTTTATGAAATAACAGAGAATTGTACTTTGGTTAAAAAATGAACTTTATATCTATAAATGTAAATGTTGCATGGGACCCATACCAAAAATGTGTGGTCATAGCAATCACTGCAAAAAGATGTGGTGTGTGAGTGTTTAACTTGGCTGTGAATGAATCAGTCCATTACCAAATATAAATAGCAGAAAGACAAACCATGCAATAATTAGCCCCATGTAAAAGCGTAAGTGATTAAAACAATTAGAACCATCATTTCATGCAAATGAAATAATAATGATGTATTCAAACTGATGACTATTACTTACATATCAGTGGCATTCGTAGGCACACTTGAAAAATTAAAAGTTAAAATCAGTTAGAAGTAAACAAACAAACAAACAAATAAACATATGTATGATATACATGTAGATGAATGTGTTAGACATATTGATACAGTGTAACCACATGCAGAGTGGCAGTATTGTATTGGTTATGGATGAAGATTTAAGAGTAAAGTTTAAAGGGGAAGTCAAGCCAAACAAAATAATGCTCGCTAAAGAAAGACCTACACAAATGTAGGAGAATGCAATTTACAGTTTTTTCATATCACTTTTCATTCTCTAGATACTGTGGAATACTTTATTTTCGCTGGAATTAATTTTCGCTGAAAAGGCTTTTTGTGCGTTTTGTATGGAACTTATTTTCACTGATTTTTGATGAATTTAATGTGAAATATAGGAAAAAAAGTATATTCGCTGGATTTTTATTTTCACGGAATCATCCATTCAGCGAAAATAACGAAAATAAATTCCAAGCGAAAATAAAGTATTCTACAGTTACAGTATTCAACTTTTCATCAATATTATGTAGTCCACCATGTTGATTCTACAGAAAAGGATTGTGGGTAAAGTGTGACAGCATATCCACTGTATGAACATGTGGAACATATATAAATATTGTTGCTCAAGATTACCGGAGACTTTAGCTGACTTTCACCAGCTCCTCGACCGGCGTTACACAGTAGCTTATGCATAACCCAGAAAGATGCATTGTACAGTGGTGCATGTCCAATCAATTAATGTAGAATGTTCTGTGATGTAGCTCCGACTCAAGAATAGTACACTGGTACACTGACAAGTGTAGCATAGCTCTATATTACAATACCCTGAACTCACGACTTATACAAAAATATTTTGTTTTGAAAAACATGTCAATGTTCGTGTGAGTTAAATATTTACAGAATTATTTGTGCTATACAATTTAATAAAAAAAAATTAACTGTTTAAATTATTTCCAAAAGTTTTTTTTTATAACCCAATTTTTTTTTTATTCTGGTGGATCATTTTCAATAACAAAACATATGTTTGTTTTATTTTGCATCAAATTTGTTTTACTAACTTTAACTATTGTATAACAAACATTATATCCATGTATGGGGAAATTACTCACACATAAACATAACAGAAATTATATTCTAACACTAACAGATTCTCTGAAACATTTTTCAACCCATTGTTTGGTTGTTGTGAAGGCAGCAACA